CCTGTAATCCCAGCACTCGGGAGGCTGAGGCAGGAGGATTGTTGCAAGTTCGAGACCAGCCTGGGCTACAAAGTGAGCTCAAGCCCAGCCTGAGCTGCATAAGGAGACCCTGTCTAAAAAAGACAAAAAACAAAACAAGAAAAACTTCTATCCCTCCAATTGTGCTTTGGAATAACAATTTCACTCATGAGTGACCTAAGCCTGAGCTGTACTTGTTATATATGCATCTGGGAGTCGGGCTTTTTTGTCTGTTTGTGGTACAGAGAATTGAACCCAGGGTCTTTGCACTGAGCCACATCCCCAGCCCTGTTTTATTTTTATTTTGAGACCTGGGCATGGTGGCGCATTCGAGAGGCTGAGGCAGGGGGCTCCCACAGTCTGAGGCCAGCCTTGGGCCGTAGAGTGAGTTCAAGTCCAGCCTGAACTACATAGCAAGACCCTGCCTCCAAAACATTAATGTCTAATTTAAAAATTTTATTTTGATTACAGATATTCCTCACTTAATGACCTAACTGTGTAACAACTGTTTGGACTTACGACCAAGGCATGCTGTTCAGACTTACAACCCAACTTTTTTTTTTAGTACAGCTCTGTACATCTTCTTTACAGAGCCTCAGTGTCTGTTTTTAGTACCGTGCACCTTGTTTATACAGAGCTGTAATTTTTGGTGGTTGTACTGTGCAGTATAGTATTGTAGCTTTCTATTGTTATCTATAGTACTGCATGGTAAGCGTTATGCAAATAACACAGAGGTCTTCAAGCTGGAGTTTCCTTTCACCATTTCTTTGTTCTTTGACTATTTCATTTCCTTGCTTGTAATGTTCATACAATGTACTCCTCATTTACCTGATTAATTCATTTAACAACCAAGTGGTAGTAACCAATCTTGGTTGTTTAGTAAGGGGTGTCTTTTCTTTTGAGACAGGGTCTCATTGTGTAGTCTAGGCTGGGCTTGAACTCACAGGAATCCTCCTGCCTCAGCCTCCCGAGCGCTGGGATTACAGGCATGCGCCACCATACTCAGCTTTGCCTTTTAAATTTTCTAAACACACTTTGACAATACATGTATATAGCTGTTAGTTATCATATATGATCAAATTATATATATATATAATATAACATTTACAGCATGTATTTATTATACTTATATTGTACTCATTTAATATCATTGTTCAGGGCTGGAGCTATAGTTCAGTAGCATAAGTGCCTGCCTGGCGAGCACAATGTCCTGAGTTCAATGCCCAGTACCAAAAAAAAAAAATCATTGTTCAGTGTAATTTTTATAAAATTAAAATATTTATTATAGCTGAGCATGGTGGCACAGGCCATATTGAGTTCAGGGTCAGCCTGAATTACATAATGAGACCCTGTCTCAAACAACCAAAAAAGGCAAAGCAAAGCAAATAAAAATAGTGGCACGTGCCTGTGATCCCAGCACTCGGGAGGCTGAGGCAGGAGGATCACTGCTAGCTCAAGGCCAGCCTGCGCTACCTAGGCAAGACCCTGTCTAAAACAAAGGAATAG